TTGTTATAAAATCTATTAATAGTAACAGATTGCTGATAAGACATACAAGTAACTTGTGAATAGTCAAACTCCCCACAGCGGTTACGTCACGCTTTGCTACTTTACTGATCAGGGGAAGTAACCGCTGCGGGTAGTGTGGTGAATAGTTGGCAAAAGGTATTGCGTCTTATAAGATGCAAATGTATACATAATTACAAAGTTATCTTTCATTAATCAGTTTCATATTTATATCATTAGAAAGGTCTGTAAACTCATAATTTACACATTAAAGAATAAATTTTCAAATTAAACCTTTTCATTTTTTCTTGGTAAAGGGTTAAACTTGGCCCTTTCTATTAACGTTCAATAGTTTAGCACAAAATAGATTTTTGCTAAAGAGGCACATTTATTGAAATCAATAGTGGTAAACGCCATCTTCGTTATAGTCCGTCATTTTCCGTCACGCAGGTTACCAAAACGGTATGACGGTAGGGAACCGGAATCGTATTAGATCCATAAAGAAAACTAATAAAATATCATTTTGTTGATTTTTTATCCAACTGAAAGGTGTTAGCTATATCGTATGTAACGACAGGAATATTGATTTCAACTACATCTAAATTATATATTCTTTCGATAGCGCAGAAGAATATTTTTTATGCAGATACAATTAAGTTTACGGTAGAATTGCATTGTTTCAAGCAATAATTAAAACATATATTCTGAAGTGTATAATACGGATTTAGATGTCTGGTATAACGGTAAATGTATAAGGTAGAATTACAAGTAGAATTTTAAGAATATCACTCGCCTTACAAAATTAATCAAAATTATGAAATAAAGGAATGCTGGAAATGAAACACGATTTATCAACTTATTGATTTAGTTTCATATAGTGAAAAGAAATAATAAAAAAAATTGTTTTATGAAAACTGCAAAAGGGATTTTCAAAGATTCGAACTTAATTGGCCTCCTAAGTCACAATTTCGTCATTCTTATTACCTGTAGGCCATCGACCAATATTAATTGATTTAATATCGAGATCTATACTATCAATCAAAACTAACAAAACAACTCCCTAAAATTAATGAGTCTCAGGTTAATATTGCCAGACAATACTTGCTTAGTTAATAATCATAGCAGTTCCTTGACAATATTACTAAGCAATGTTGCTTCATATATGATGTTTTATTGTGAATAAACAGTTACTCAACATATTGTTCCTCTTTTCTTTATACTTGAACCATTAATTAAACTGATATTTTCTTATATTTATGATAAAACAATCATTTTTCTATCCGGCGACTTGATGCTTTAGCATCAAAACCTCTACTTGTTTCTACGATAATCATGTCTGTATAGAAGTCACTGGTGGATACGATAGTCAATTGTTGAAATTACTAATTGTTAAATTAACGAAGACAGTAACTGTTTTTTGTTGTTTTTTTTTTTGTTTTTTTTTTGGGGGGGGGGGGGGTAAGAACATGTTTACTCAAAAAGTCATTAATATACGAGTATGCGAGCTGTCCGGCATGTTTAACTTCTGCATCGGGTCAACACATTCAATTTTGACCAAACAACTAAATTTAAACAATATTTTATTTTATTCATCAGGATGCATGCGTATTAACAATAAAATAAATAAATGTAGTTACTTTTTGTATTACATGTAATTTCCATGACTTGTAATTAAATGCTAGCCGGTGTTCAGTAGATTTAGCGCATATAACAATTGTCAGTTGATATTTTTTTTTCTACTGTTAAGAATCATATTGTTTACAGATCAGACGAATGATGTTTTAAATTGATACTATAAATCACTAATTGAATCAACTTGATAACAATGTCCGTTAAGAGTCAAGATTACGCAAAAATTAATATAAAGAAAGTGGTCAACTCTCGGATCCTTACGCGGAGAATGGAACGTAACTATGACCACTTTCTTCCCGTTTCATCATAACAAACGGAGACATGATTATGGTTATATAATTTGGAGACATAGAACTGTCGAAAATGTGCTTTCAGAAGCAATGACGCTTGTGGCATTTTTATATGAAATTTCGACGTCAAGAACGTCATTTTGTTTTAACATTAGCTCGTGCCGGGTCAAGTACACCTTGTTACTTGTAATTGTCACAGAATTGTTATTTGTAAACACATTTTATTGAATTGTTCATTGTATTTCAAGGACATGTTCCAATATTTGTCTCCTGTAAAACTGTGTACGCAAATTAAAAGATGTGAACAGTACAGCCTTTTGAAAGGCCCCTGTATATAAAAGTCTATTTGTCGAAAGCATTGGTTGGTAAGAAGAGTAAAATTTTGCTATTTAAATCGCTTGTTCTTACAAAATCATGATGTCTATTATCAATAAATTTGCACAGAAAAACTTACTAAGGAAAATGTGACATAATCACAACCATCATAAACGTCACTTTTACCTAAATTTTACATCACAAGGCTTTTCTTTGAACACGACTGGTAAATGTCTACTAAGAAAAGGTTGTTTATGCTTTACGTTTTAATTCATTATTAAATTGCAAAGCTGTAGGTTTTATGTGCTATTATTTAAGGTATTTATATAAAAAAATAAAAGTTTTACGTAATTCAAGGTATTGATTACGTAGCAATTTGAGATCAATGTTTTCCTTTGGAAAGGAGGAACATTCAACAAAAATGAAATGTATCAACTTTTATCGTCATAATGATAAACGTGTTTCCTTCGAGGGAAAACCCCGAACCAGTCGTTTTGGTAATTCAGTGAAGCTTTTTTGTTAAATGCAATTTATATTCCAATAACGGTGAATGAACAAGTTTTTTTGAACATTTCATCAAGATTAAATACTCCCAGTTAACATTATATAAACCTAATAAAAAGCTAATTCAAAATCCCAGTTTTCCATTTAAACACACAATTTGTCAAATAAGCGGGCCATTGATTATCTTAAAAAGATAAAACATCTTCAATTCTGAAACGAATGTGTTTTCATTTCAAATTTAACTTTATTTTTCTGACAATAAATCACTGTCCTTTGAGAGTCTAGAAATGTTCCTTAAAGAATATCGGCTTATCAATTTATCGCATGCTTTACATGCATGCAGCTACAATCACTGATATGATACATAATTTGAAAATTCCAACACAATCGGCAGTTTTCCCTATTGAACAAAAGGACAGAACGTTTGTGCAAATATGTCATAAAAGCAATTTTGACGATATATATATTATTACCCCTCACTTTTTTCGTAATGCTAATTTCCCATAGGCCTCTGGGAGTTATTTTTACTGTTAATGCAAGTGTACCACGTGACTAAGAATTTTGTACTGTTACATAGGTAACAGTATTTTTTAAGAGGTCACGTGGTCTATTTCCTAAATAAAATGAAATGAAATGGCCGCCATTTTGTTCTCGATTCATTCTTATTTTCAACGTTAAACCCCGATAGGACATCAATTTCTCCTCTTGAGTCCCTATGACACTCATAAAAATTTAGTTGTTTGCACCTGGTGAGCTTTTCGCGTATAAAATATCTTTTTGCTGAATAGTCGAAAAGTGAACATCCGTTTTCAACGGAAGTAATTGCAATGTAATATATGTGTCAAACTGGAACATACAGACGATTTAAGCATGCAACAAAGGATTATTTAACAAATTTAGTCAGTGAAACGTTACAGATATGGTGGACATAGGATATCATCGTTATTTTGTGTCAAAAAACCATGCTAAGAATATTCTGGAAACAGAAGGATCCGATTTCACAGATCATAACCGTGTAAATGGGTTAGTGTTTTGTTTCCTAAATAAAACCTAGCTTATTGTATGTTTATGATTTGTAGATATCATCACTTGCTTAAAGAATGAAAGAAAAAGAAAACTTCTCAAGTAGGCCTACGGTAAAGTACACTTAAAACTTAAAAGGTAAGGACAGTTTAGTTATTGTTATTCTTGGTTTATTTTTGTTACAGTTAGATTTAATTGACAATTTCAGATCATCTCAGTATTTTTGTTCGTGGTAATAAAATAAATAACACATGGGTTTGTGAGTAACAGTAAAAATATCATCCCTCGTAAAAATACTGTTACCCTCGGCTACGCCTCGGGTAACAGTATTTTCCTCGGGATGATATTTTTACTGTTACCCACAAACCCATGTGTTATTTATATATTGACATGTGGTGTAATCATTGAACATGCGACACGTTGAAAATAAGTTAAGAATCAAACCAGGAATAGTATGCTTGATATCACGTACAGCAGCACATATTTGTTGATGTCGTGTTAGAATCGAAATAATGTTTCCCAAGCAGTGTAGTGATTTTAAATCTGCCATAAAAACACTTTTGGGGATGTATCATTTCTTTAACAAGAAACATACTATAAAAATGCAAATTATAATTATGTTAATCATATTTGAAATAAAATTTAACTACGTAAAAGAGGAACAACAACAAAACAACGATAATTGCCCTCTTGATGTCAATTAGTGTTTATATTACACCTATTGTAGCACCGATATACTTATAAATGTATGTTCTTAACAAATATCCTTTTGAAATTTTCTACTGTACGTACTGTAGACATAAATGGCATTCATGCAGTGAAGTATAACATCCTATGAGCAATAAATGATGCTATGCTCTGAAACTCATACGGAAGGATAGAAGAAGCGAATCAAATGCATAATTACATATTAAACATGGAACATGAATCTGGTTTTTTAACAACATGGACAATTTATGTGCATGTTAAAATATTTTATTTTAATTGATCTTTGTTTGGAAGATTGCTTTTGTCAAATTAAATAATGTTATGCATGCAAAAATTAATTGTTAATATAGTGCCGGTACCCAGGAAAACACATACTAAATTACCCCATGTTTTCTTAATCACAGGTAAAGAAACAAGCAGGCAGAAACATTCTAAATATGCAATTTCAACCACTTAAGAAAAAAACTAGCGATTTGTAAGGTTTAAATTATCCGAACATATTCGGCTAACATACAATACATAGAAAGCAAATACATTTTATGTTTTATTATTTAATGTGGTTAAATTGCAGGGTTTATTTCAATTATCCTGAAATAAAAAAACAGTATACATTGATCAATATTACGTGTATCATAAATTAAAAGAACCGTTATGGTGAAGGCTTATCTATCTATCTATTCTCAGAAATTACAAAACACGATTTGATATGTGCTTTACAGTTTTACCACATTGATCCTCAATGTTCTGAATATGTCATACAAAACATATCATTTTTAAATGTTGTCAGAATTGTATTTAATTCCAACAATTTTCAAGAAATGAAAACTTTATTAATAAGCTATATATATAATTGAATACACAAATAGTAAATGTAAAATCAAACAATTACCAATGATTATTGATCCACCATGTTCATGAGTAGTGCAATTTTTGTTACAGTAGTCTTCCGTACAACACGAATGACATATGGGTGTCGCTCTCTTCAATGAGACAATCCCTTCGTCGCTTTCAAATCCACACTAGAAGATATAGGAAAGCAATGTTAGATATCTTTTGTATTTTTAGAGTAACTATATAATCAGGGAGGCACATGGTTCATGCAGTTCTTTTACATAATGAAGAAATGTACGAGATAAGTATATATGTATACATGTTTTATCTCTGTGTATATTCTGTTTTATTGCGAACGTTATCAATGCAAAATTTGACCAGTAATTTTCTGCTTAAACCGGTGCTAGAGGACGTGGGAGTTTACTTGCACATTAAAGGACTGTCTTTGAACACGAACAAAAAGACAAAAAAACAAAAAAACAAACGTTCTTAATCAAAAGCATCATGACGTTGCCAGATCTTTCTATTGCAAGATATTTATAATTGTTTAATTTAGTAGATCTGGTAAACGTGAAAACAAAAGAGTACAAATGTATTATGAAACACTTTTACAAAGTCATGTAAGATATATAATTTAAATATTACGTTACCGATCCATGACCACACCCTAGCTTAAAATGAGTAGAACCAAACCATTTATACTCCTCGACGCTGCAACTCTGTAAGAGCAAAGAATGACAAAACACGTATAAACACATCTGCGGATGTTTTTAAATTCAAGATTTTACCATTTGTGTGTTAAATACTGATATCTGCTCAGGCCGGTGCTAGAGGGCAATAGCGGTAACTTGCACTTTCCAGTACTGTCAAAAAGGTTCAATCAAACCGAGCCTGCAACATTATCGATTGTTCGTGTTGGGATTTTTGGGAGAATTGTGTTGTATCTATTTTACTGTACTTTTATTAATACATCTATGAATTAAGTAAATAAAAGAAAAAGAAAACTAATTTTCACTTTAAATTTGCAATTATATTGCATCTAATATTGTAATAAATCTACCCTCAAAGTGCTAGTGTTTTATGTACCCCTTGCTATATTTTTCATGTTCAAAATAGTTTGTTGTGATTGTTTGGCGTTTATTATCGTATTCAAAAACGCTATTTCATTCATTCTCTCGATCCAAGTCTTCTGTACGTGCACCATAATATTGCTGGTTAAATTTTCTTCAGTAATGCATATTACGTGTGTTTTCTTATTATGTTGTTTTCTTATTTATCTATTTATTTTTGCTTGTTGTTATTTATCTATTTATAAAATGCATTCACTTAAAAAGTAACATTTGGAATTACATTCATTTTTTTGTAAAAAAAGAGAAAGTAGTTGCCACAATATACCTGGTGTGACTCGCAAGGCGTTATATGTTCGCATTCAGCAGGGGATCTCACGTGCTCGCAGTCAAAGCATATTGGACCCCTATTTTGTCTGTCGGGTATGTCTTAAAAACATAAATAGGTTATGCATTCATTACGCCACAGAGTACCTGCTATACTACAAGATTATAACCATGCAATAGTATAAACGTACAAGAAATTAAACAGGCCACTTGAAAGTGTCACTTATATGAACTTTGCTTGGAAAGTAATAAATATGACTGTATGTTTAGGTTAATTAATGTAACATTTCCATTTATTTTGTAAAGATTACCACTATCTTAGAATAGATCTGCCTTTAAAAGTTTGTGTACAATATGGTCGGTCATAAGCTACTTTTAAATTTAAATATACTTTTGATATAATGCAATCCATATTTCTCGGTAAGAGAAATGCAATAAGACACACAACTACATGCAACTAACCATTTTCATCACATCCTTTGTTGTTGCAAAAATTACCATGGCAACAATCAAAACAAAGATCTTCAGATCCATTCGAATCATTCCGTTTTAGGTAGCATGTCTGAAAGAAGTTTGAAAATATGATAAATTTAAAACTTTTTTTATCTAGTTTTAAATATAACTCATTAAATATTTTGATGGAAAACAGATGAACATGAATAGTAGTACATATTTCTATGTGTCAAATCTTGCCAAGTTGATTTTCTCAATGTGTTAAATGAATGTCAAAAATTGTCCTTCTTACATACTTGCTATAAGAACCTTCTTAATGTGATTCCTTAAGTATAATACAGGAACATTTTATTACAATTATAAATAAGTCAAAGTCTTTGGAATTATTTTTCAAACTCGATCTCTAGATATCTTTCAAACCTTTTTCTAGCCGTGATTATGGGTGCCGGTAAAATTTCTTTTGATATGGCTCCAGAAAACAAAAAAAGTACTTGTGGCTAACTTCTGAGTCTTACAGCAAGCAACATCAAAATCCAACAACACCTTACATGCAAAAGTTATGATGCAGAGACTCCAGTGAGTCTAACCCTTTGAGTCGCCTTATAAGATCAAGCAGAGATAAACATTAGACGCAACCCCTCATACACAAGGCGAGCCAATCGACATGCATGCATGACATTCCATGAGTTTAAAATTGCAATGACCTAGCAAGTGAACACAAACCGTATAAAAATAACCTACTTTCTCTTCAATACATCCTGCTATGTACCTCATCCGACCAGATTGTTCAAACCTTTCAATGAAACATATCTGTAAACAGAGAATAAAGATCTCGTTGATTTGACACAGAAAGACACAGTTACTAACAACATTGGCTTAAGTAGATAGGAATCTCACACACGCCATTACAATAATGCTTACGTATTAGTTTTTTGTCATTAAAGAGAGGTACAAATATTAAACATGTTCATTTGTGCATGTTTTTTTACAAGATGTAATTGTTTCAACAGACACGGTTATGATACGTAATATTGTTTTATTAACTAAAACCAAATATAAGATTAGGTTATGTTGCATTCAAATATAATTTTTCAGTGTTTGTGTTTGGAATACTGATAACATGGCCAAATGTGAATGATAGCGCAAAACGAACACCCTTTTGAACCTGGTCGCAATTTAAAAGAAAATTAAATCATGATGCAAGGTTAACAATTTTGCGGTGTAAGAAAGGGAATAATCGACGTAACCTCATTTGTGTTGCACCGGTGCACTGTATCACACAAGCCTATGTGAGTTAAATCATCACAATTATAGCATGTGGGTCCAAACATTCGTGCTGAAATATTATGCTCTAAAATCATTGAATTATTATAAAGAGGTGAGCGCTAGTCAGAATGCAAAAGAAAACAAAAAAACGAAAACAAAAGTGTGTTATAAATTAAAGTCTTCTTTTATTAGCATTACGCAATATCAAATAATCAGCTGCTCGTTTTTATTGAAAACATTTAACATATGGTAGTAAAGAGTTAGGATATGTAAATGATGTGTTTGTAATTTTAAACAATCATAAGTCATTATTCGTATCATTGAAACTATAAACTACATTATGTTTTGTAAAAAAAAAATAATAAATTTCGAAAGTAGAGATTAACGCGACTGTGGTCATATTTCTTATTGAAGTAAAAAATCAAAAGAAAGAAAACACAAAAAATACGAAAAAGAGTTATAACAAATAAATGATGTGAAAAAAAATGAATGCAAACATGATTCAAAGATATCATAAAAATAATAATTGTTCTTAATATTTTACTCGCGGATCATTTTGTACTTCGATAGATATTGAATTTTAGAATTAATTTACAAGCATACAATTGTTTTATATATATTATATGAATGATACAATTAATGACTATTGTTTCATTCAAAGGAGAGAGTATCTAAAAAAGCTTCTAGCTTTCTGTTCAATCCTTCTTGCATTCGATTGTAATTACATTTAGTATATTTGTTTGATTGAAATATAATATTGTTTAAACCAACTCACGGGTCTCAGTGATAGCCCTTGTTGTCTGTGTGTGTGAAGTTGTTGATGTCGTTGCTGTGACTGTATGCGCAGGTAAAGGTGTTGAAAGCAAGCAGCCTCCTTTAAATCATTAACGCAATAACGATTGATAAAATGAACAAACATCAATTTTACAACTATTACACCTGTTTTAATTTTAAAAATGTATAATATAAAATAAACATTTCTTTTATTTATACACGATTAATTTATAAGAAGGATTTTATGGAAATATAATTGTGTCGATTTATATATTATTTCTAAATATTCATGAAGTAAAGAGCTTTGCTTTGGAAGAATAACTTAGAACACACAGTGTCATCTTAATTCATATATATTATGAAAAAGGTACATGCTTGTGCAGTAATCAGATATCTAAAGTTTTCTTTGGGTACCTGTCAAATCATATCCCGGATAGAAACCATATCCTAAACCGTATAATATACCCAAGTAAATGTGACGTCCTAGACCGTAAACAAATACGCCAAACTTTATCCATTGCAAGGAATGAGCAAAATGATGGTATCCTGCCTTTATTTCGAAAACGTTGATTACATAGCTATCAAAAGGATACGGGACATTGAACGTTTTTCGTGGCCCATTATGATACGCATTCATGGAAACACCATCAAGAGTTAGGCCTGTTTGATGTAATCTTGGTATAATTATTGCCACATAAGATTTGACATCATAGTATCCAACAGGTACCGAAAACTTATAATCATTCAGATATTGGTCAACCCCTGGAACAACTGCCATTAATGGATCTCCATTTATGTTATCAAAGTCATATCCAACACCATATTGAGTGACCGAAAAACTGTCATTTGCTATAACAGTAACTGGTTCGTTGCCAAAATACAGTTTAGATAGAGACGGCTTATACGAATATGTGTGTGTTCGATTTTCTACGTTTACTCTTAAAATTTCATCTCTTGATTGTATTCGAAGCATGAAAGCAGATTTTGGAAATGCCGGTGGAACAATGTACTTGCTTGACCATGATGTGGTTGGAATCATTTCTGAAGCAATAAATTCATCTTGGCCCGATGTACTTGGAATATTTGTAAAAGCTGTACCAGAAACTACATAAACGTTTTTGGTAGACATAACCATTACACCGGTAAGATCGCATTTACTGCATGTATACTGGAAGACATCAAACGCATTGATAGTTTCTGACTGAAGAATTCGGTTTCCTTGATAAATCGTAACGTTGGTATTGTTTGTAGGTCCAGAGATAATCACTTCACCACCACGGTTAACTGTATCAGATTCATGCGAGGATAATAGAAAGCTCTTACCAAGACTGGATTTTGGAAGAACATTGTATGATTCAGTTGAAGCCTCGTTATAATACGAAGTTGTCACAATGACGCTTATTTCATTATTTGATATGATTTTTATACCCCTTTTACCAACAAAAGTTCCATCTTTTTGAATGCTTGCATCAATCGAAATCGTTTTATTTTTGGCTATCGGAAGGGTATATTTTGTATCTATTTGAAGATATGGTATTTGTATGTTGACAACCGCTTGGTAAGGTGAGACGTTTGTGATATCTAGTTCTACAATATTGTATTCATCTTTGCAGCAATCACCTATCGAATCTAGAATGCCAAAGGCAAATTCTTTACCATAAGTACCTGGAAAAAAAGTAAAATTTCATCACTTTTGGATATTTTTGTTTTTCTCTGCGTTATTGTGAAATGATTTGAATCCTTCACCGAGGTCATTCTCGAAAAGAGTTATGTTTAAAATAATAAAACGGTACCTTATGTTATAATTAGATTTTATAAGTAATTACATACCAATTTATGTTAAAGAAAGCAGATAATAATATTTTCATCTTACTAGCATTTTATGTTGATAATTCCATGTCTTCAATAAAACAATCAGTGATTTAAAATGCACTTCATTCACCTCAACAGCGTTTTGAGTTATAAATTTTTGCAGAGCCATTTGCGTTCATGGGCTTTAATTAAGTTGATTTCATAAACGTCAGTGTACAATATGCTAGGTATCATTACTACAATTCTAAATGATAAAGACTTAGACTATATTATAATCAATTATCTCCCTTGAGCTAGTTCCAGTGCCCGGTGAACGTCGGATGTCATCTCTACGAGCATCTGTTACATACAGTTGAATTGCGATTGTAAAAATCACATCAAAGAGAGGAGTTTTGGATTTTTTATGCATGAACTTTTTGCACTGCTTTTATTTTCCTTTCTGTTAAAAAATCATATTTTAATTATATTACCTTGCATTCGTAACAAATATTCACTTTATGCTTTAGAAGAAATTAATCCTTCTGTTAATTCTTATAATGGTAAGTTTCTATACAATACCATAATAAACAAACCCATTTATTCCTTCCAAAAGCTTGTTACTTACTTGATTTGCAAGCACTCGCAACAAGACATCGTATAAAACTTGCTACCTGTGAAATATGAAAGTGAGGTGAACAAACAAACATGTGTGTGAAAATTTGTTTTAAGGTGTACCCCGAAATTAAATAAATTATCTGACATCGCAAAATTATACAATTTTTATTACAATTTCACTCAAAGTGTTTTCAGGGGCGTAGCCAGCTTTTTTCAACTTGTAGGCACATAGAAGGGTGTCTGGGGGTTTCGCCCCCAGAAGCCAAAAATAAGTTCAGATTGAAAAGAGCAAAATGCGCGTTCCAAATAATGTTCAAAGAAAATTATCAAAACATTGATTTTAAACTATGGATTTGATTAAATGCAAATTTACTGAGGATGGTAAATCATGCACACAAACTTGATTATACTTAACGGCCTGAACACACTAGCATCCCCAACCACGCATGTTTTTATTGTATTTTTGGGACTTTTGAAAATGTCAATTTCTTGACCAACTTGTACGCCACTAGTTCTAATGTATTGTTTAACCAAGTGCTATGCCTTTAGTGTTGTAATATTTTTTTCTGGTCCTTCGGGTTCATTGATGCCAGCACTATTAAGTGGTGAGAATTGAGTACCACTCAAGCCGGCGCTAGGGGGCGTGAGAGATGTTGCACATTTTCATTATCCCTCATGTAAAGACTCAATCAAACCGAGTCTGCAATTCTTATGTAATTTTGTTGTGATTAATGCTTCCGAGGGATCACTTTGATTTTTAGACTATTTGTTATGTATTAATGCCGATGATACGATGTCGACTGAATCATGAATGATTTCAATAGCGAAGAAAAACATAGCATATAACAAAATGGTTCGCCTTGAAATTGTGATGTTTATAGTAGTTAAGCGACGAGATTACTTAACCAGTGATGAAAATTACTGAAACAGAAACTGTCGCGTTTCAAATATTCTATCTTAATTCAGCGATAGTCCTACATATGGTTTGTACACTTTTTTTAAAGATTTTTCAAATTACAAATTATGTTTCACTTGCTAACAGAGAAAACAAAATTATTTAAAATATGACTGATTACCTTGAATGAATTATGCTAAAACTAGATATTCCACGAGAAACAAAGCAAAGTTATTTTCTTACTTTTTTTCTTATTTTTGTATTAAGCATATTAAGTTAAAGCATAAAACATCCATACCTGCCGTCGCCACGGTAACAAGTATGGCATAAAACCATTTTCTTAGTCTTTTTTCTTTTTAAATAAATCTAATATGATCTGGTTAGTCGTTACAGCTCATTCTCTTAGTATGAGATATTGCTTATTTGTACAAGACAAATGAACATAATTCTTAAGTTGTTTATATATACGTACATTTATCTGTTTTTTCCCCTTCGTATGTTTGTTCTAATATGACGTTGATAGACAACAAAAGAAAGACATTCTTGCATAAAAAAGAAAAAGCATGCTATAAAATTGTCTGCTAATAAGGAATTCCAATATCCGTGATGGATTTATTTAAGTACTGGTCCAAGAAATTAAAAAAAAGTACTTACCACAATTATGGAGAGTACGTTCCTCATCGTATGATAAAAGTCGAAATGTAGTTAGTATACATCTGTTATCGTTAAATTGAAAAGTAGGGCATAATTTGAGAAATACAATGCAAGATACTAAATATTGACCCCTTACCAAACGGTAAATTTTGATAAGGCAAATGTTACAGTCCTTATCGTGCTGAATTTGTCAAAATTAAACAAAGTCAGTGAAATCGACGTAAGATCTCGACAATTGTTGCGTTAAGAATATTTCTGATAAATACAATGCAATGTTTTATTATAAAAAAGTCAGAATATGGGCTAACGTATAATCAGGCATTTACATATAATTCAGTTTAAGAATGGTCTGATTTGTATAGAAAGAATGTATAAACAAAACATATCACCCGAAATAGAAATTTAATTACGCGGAAAAGAAGTAAATTCTGTCTGAACGGATTTTCCTTTTTTCTTATATAAGCGTGTTTCGACGGAAATCAGTTTTGATGGAAAAGAATGCAAAATAGTGATTTTTGGCAATTTTGAGACGTCCCCCCGTTGCTATTGGTAACAAGAAATTTACGATTGAGCACGCTGTTACAGAGGCTATGGTCTAGTCGATATTTGTACCAAGTTTCATCAGAGTATTGAAGCATTTTTTATAGTTTCATAGCAATTTGAACTTGTTACAAAAGGCTTTTCAATAAAAGCGTTTTTCGCAATATGCTCATTGGGAAAAAGGTTAAATAAAAAAAAGTAAAAAAAACAACAATTTTCACCAAAATTAGGTGTTAGGGCACTTGTTAACATGGAAAAACTGGTTTTTAGGTAATTCCAAGGGTTTTCATCATTTTTTGCTAACCTTTTCCCTTATATAAGCGTTTTTCGACGGCTTTTTGACTCCCCCCCCCCTCTTTTGAGGCCCCAAACAGTAAATAATGCCCTATTTCGTACCTAAACACTGTTTTTCGTTTGAGAAAAGCTGTATAAAAAAGTGACCACTTTTTCGACCCTGTCCCCCATCCAAATGTTACATCAGGGGGTTGCCAGAAAGAGGATGTGCCCACTTGTGTTTGGGGGTGGGGTGACGGTGGCGGCAGTACCCCCTCATCGCCAAGAAAATTTTGGACATATGACAGGATAACAATGGCCTCAGGTCGATCTGAACGTAACTAGTAACCGACGTTGAAATGTCTTTTACCTTATTTAAATTCATTAAGAAGTTGCAGCACTTTGAAATCCGTTTTGATGAAAAAAAAACAATGCAAAATAGTATGTTTTGGCAATTTTGAGACGCCACCCCCGTTGCCATAGTAACAGGAAATTTACGATTGAGCTTGATGTTACAGATGTCTAGTTTCATCAGTATTGAAACATTTTTCATAGTTTCATAGCAGTTTGAACTTGTTACAGGAGGCTTTTCAATGAAAACGGCCATTTTTTGCAATATGCTCATGGGGTAAAAGGTTAAAGAAAACCAAGGCAAACATAATCTAGGGTCATGCATAAGATGAAGCATTTTTATTTAAAACATAAAATATATCTGTTATCATTAAAAGGAACAACATTTTATTATTTTAATGTAATACTCTGTAAATTGAGAACATTTTACTGTCATTGGAAGACAACTCGAGTTTATAGAATAAGCACGAACATTTCGTTCAAGGTTAATGTTCGAAAGAAATCGAATTGAAAAGAGTGGTGCCGCCATAATGTAGAAAGACCTGATATTGTCTCACAATAATATTAATACCATATATGGTCTTACAATAACAGAAACATCCGATATTGCTATTAATAACAGAAATACCCGATATTGTCTAAAAATAACAGAAATACCTGATATTGTCTTACAATAAAAGAAATACCCGATTTTGTCTTACAGTAACATTAATACCCGATATTGTCTAACAAAAACAAAGATATCCTATATTGTCTTACAATGATAGATATACTCGATTTTGTCTTACAATAACAGAAATACTCGATATTGTCTTACAATAAAAATATACCCGTTATTGTCTTACAATAAAATAAATTCCCGATATTGTCTTACAATAAAATAAATTCACGATATTGTCTTACATTATAGCAGATATACCGGGTATTGTCTTACAATAAAAGTAATACCCGACATTATCTTACAATAACAGAAATACCCGATATTGTCTTACATTTACAGAAATACTCGATATTGTTTAACAATAACGGAAGTACCCGATATTGTCAAACAATCACACAAATCTGCAATAGTGTCTTACAATAATAGATATACCCGATATTGTCTTACAATAACAAACAGACCCAATTTTGTCTTACACTGAGGG